AGGTGTGTGAGTGTGTGGTTCGTGGGTCTGCATGTGTGTGAGCAGGTTATGGACTAGGTGTGTGAGTGTGTGGTTCGTGGGTCTGCATGTGTGTGCACATGTCACACATCCATGACTGGGGGCAGCACATGTTGAGATGTGTTGCATGGGATGCTCACACGTGTGGTTGTGTTTTGTGTATGCACAAATGTACACATACATGTGCACACCTGCAGGGGTGTGTGAGCACTGTGTGACATGTGCTTAGGTATGCAGTGTGCACCACACAGGTGTGCATAAGGTGTATGTGTGTGTTCAAGTGTATGGGGGTGTGGGAGGCTTGTTCCATGGGTGAGCACACAGCAGCGCATGGGTGGGTTTGGGTTCATTCGCTCCATGCATAGGCGCCAGCACATAGCAGCTGCCACTGTTGGAAGGCTGGATTTGTCCCTCTTTTTTTTTTTTTTTTTTTTTTTTTTGAGATAGAGTCTCAAGCTGTCACCCTGGGTAGAGTGCCATGGCATCACAGCTCACAGCAACCTCCAAGTCCTGGGCTTAAGCAATTCTCTTGCCTCAGCCTCCCAAGTAGCTGGGACTACAGGCAACTGCCACAACGCCTGGGTGTTTTTTGGTTGTAGTTGTCATTGTTGTTTGGCAGGCCAGGGCTGGATTACAAACCCACCAGCTTTGGTGTATGTGGCTGGTGCCTTATCTGCTTGAGCTACAGGTGCTGAGTCCCTCTTAGAGTGGGACTTGGAGCCCAAGACACTGTCTGAGGGAGTTTGGTGACACATGCTTCCCACAGCCAGAGGTGGTGCCGTGGGCTCGGCTTTGTAATAGCATAGCACTCTGGTGGCCTGGAGAAGTTTCAGATGAGTCAGGAGGAGCCTTCCACAAGGTGGTAGTGACGAAGATGTCCTGTCCTGTGTGGGAAGGCAGGTGACTTTGCCATCACCACTTGGTTCTGAGGTCCACGTGCTAGGCACACAAGCCCTCAGGGGCCCACAGAGAACCCCTGCAGATACCACCTTATGGACACGGCCTGGGCAGGAAGGGGTGGCAGCCATGAGGCTGCTGTGTCAGGCACTGCCCTGCCCCGGGTGATCTTAGCATAGCCCAGGGGGCCCATCACTGGCCACTGGGGCAGCCCTGGGTGGTGCTCTCCATACCAGATGCCTACACAGCCCCGAGACTTTGTCTGGTCCCATACATTTTCACTTTGTAAAAGAGACTTTTGCCTTCTGAGCCGTTTGCCTCTGGGACAGGGCTCCGTGTTTCCAAGACCACCCATCTTCCATTTGAAACTCTCACTGCTGATGTAGCTCTCAGAGTTTGTGCCCCACCCCCTTGGGGCCTTCCTGGTGCTTTCAGGAAGGCTGTGAGGACTGCTGAGTGTGTCTGGGCTTCCCAGAGTGGGGGTGTGAGGACTTGCTGGCCTCTGCCCCTCTGTGGGCGTGCGAGTAGGTGGGGCCCTCAGCCCTCTCCCTGCCGCAGCCCTGCTCTCAGAATCATCTGTACTTTTTTACTTCATCCTAGTGGGAGGGAACGCCCACAACCTGGCAAGCAGCCGGGTGCAATTTCCTGCTGCCATCACTGCTGCTCAGTCCCTGCCCTGGTCCCATGGCTCAGGGGCCCTCACCGCTCAGAGTGACTCAGGGCACCTTGGGCATTGCTGGGCACTCCATGGGCAGAGGCCACAGGCAGGGACGGGCAGGAACGGGCACAGAGCTCCCACCTGCCCTACTGCAAGGTGCATCCTCCCCCGAAGTGGTGGCACACACTCCCTCCTGATGGCCCCGGTGACATTTCATAGGCAGATGGGTCTCAGTGAGAGTGAGAGGTGACTCAGCACAGGCGTCTGTCCCTGCCCTCCACAGTGACAATGATTGGGTGCTCGGCACAGGCATCTGTCACTGTGTTGGAGAAGCTGCTGGTGCTCAGATGTGTTTGGAGGCGTCGATCTTTGTCACCTAAAGGCACGTTAGTTTATAGACCTTTTCTCAGGACCACCACAAAGAAGGGGCAGAGAAGAAGCAGGAGGGTGGTGTCTGGAGGACCAGCCTCCCACGCCTGATCCCTGCACTCTGGATGGCACCTGCCAGCCCCACCCCAGGCACAGAGGCCTCTGATGCCTGTGGTGTTCCCAGGTGTCTCAGTGATGCTTGGATTGCTGGTGGCCGTGGACAGCATGGCAGCCAGGTGTGAACTCCGCCATGCTAACTTCTGGAAGCCAGATGGCCTTGCCTTGGTGCAGAGTGCATGGTCACACCAGCTTCTGTGGTGAGC